TACCCCGCTCTTCACTACCCAAAGGTGTCTCAGAGCGGCTCACAAACGCCTTTCCCTTCCCCTCCCCACCACAGACACCCTGGGAGGCAGGTGGGGCTGAGAGAGCTCTCTTGAGAACTGCTCTTGAGAGAAGAGGAGATTGGATTTATACCCCGCCCTTCACTACCCGAAGGAGTCTCAGAGTGGCTTACAAATGCCTTTCCCTCCCCCTTCCCACCACAGACACCCTGGGAGGTAGGTGGGGCTGAGAGAGCTCTGACAGAAACTGCTCTTTTTCAAGAACAGATCAGAACTACGGCTTGCCCAAGGTCATCTAGCAGGTGCAAGTGGAGGAGTGGGGAATCAAACCCGGTTCTCCCAGATTAGAGTCCACGCACTTAGCCACTACACCAAACTGGCTCTGGCTGATGACGATTGTTGTAAGGAGATTATATCCAGATTCGTGTTCCCACTATTGAAGATATTTTCCTATTATTGTATATGTTTTCTTACTATTGTAATTTTTTTTTTTTGCTGTTTACCTTTTGGTTGCATTTTATAGTTCTTGTAGATATTTTACACCTGTTTGTTGCCCGTTTAAGCTTCCGGGGAGTAAATAATTGTTAGTGCATTTTCCATCTCAGTGTATTGTGGTTTTGGTTTATACTGAATCTGACCATTAGTCCATCAGAGTCAACAAAGTCAAAATGATCTTCTGGCAGCGGCTCTCCAGGGTCTCAGGCTGAGGTCCTTCACATTCCCTCCATCTCACCTAGGTTCAGCTTCCAACTCCTTTGCCCTCATTCCCTTGACCACAGTTCCATAACCTGGATTAGAGCAGGTTCGGGTTGGTAGCCGTGCTGGTCTGAAGCAACAGAACCAAGTTTGAATCCAGTGGCACCTTCAAGACCAATGCATCTGATGAAGTATCCACGTGCACACACACTTATACCCAGAATTAGTGTTCCCTCTAAGCTGAGTTAGTGCGAGCTAGTTCACAGTATTTTAGCCTCCGACTCACACATTTTTGCCTTCGCTCAGGAAGGAGGGCTCCAGAGCAAACTAATTGATGCAGTAGCCAAATCGCTTGCTCACAACTTTAATGCCGGCAGCTGACAAAGTAGAATCTTTGCTCACAAGACTCCACAGCTTAGAGAGAGTATTGATTAAAGGTGCCACTGGACCACTGGACTCAAGCTGGATTAGAGCAGAGATGCTTGCTCCTGGAGGCTTTGTTAAAGAAATTTGGAACAGGGTGTCTTCAACAAATTGATGACCCCAGACTCCAAAATCTCTGATCCTTCCGGAGGCTTCATATACATGTTGAATAACAGATAAGGGGGCTAAGCTGACGCCTTTTAGTGTGGACAGAGGGGGAGCTATTGCAACCATGGAGCAGCCAGCTCCGATACCCTTGCCATCTAATTCAAGTTGTTTCAAGAGGATCTTATGGTCCGCCATCTCCATCTCATGGCTAGCTGGAAACCAGACTGAAGAGGAGTGAAGGATAAAAAAATATAGAATCATACAGTTGGCCATCTAGTCCAACCCCCTGCTAAATGCAGGATCAGCTTAAAGCATCCCTGACAAGTGTTTGTCCAGCCACTGCTTGATAACTGCCCGTGAGTCTCTAAATAGGAACGCACATCAACACATGAAGATGCCTTCTACTGAATCAGACGCTTGGTCCATCAAAGTCAGTATTGTCTACTCAGACTGGCAGCCGCTCTCCAAGGTGTCAGGTTGAGGTCTTTCCCATCACCTACGACCAAGCAGATGCTCTGCCACTGAGCCACAGCCCCTCCCCTGAATGAAACTCTCCCAAGAAGCTGCCCTCTACAGAATCAGACCTTTGGATTCATCAAGGTCCGTATTGTCTACTCAGACGGACAGTGGCTCTCTCGGGTCTCAGGCTGAGGGTCCTTCACATCACCAACCTAATCCTTACTGGAGATGCCGGGGATTGAACCTGAGACCTTCTGCATTCCAAGAAGATTCTCTGCTGCTGAGCCAGGGCCCATCCCCAGCGTGCTAGATACGCTAGAGTTGTTGCCACAAGTTCTATCAGAAAGGTGAATTTAGACACTGATCTAAATCTAGCAAGGAGGTTTACAGAAAAAGATGGCTTTCAACTCATGGGTGGGTGATCGTTGCCTCCTGAAAGCCCTATAACAGCGGAGCATTAATGACAGCAGTCTACAAAATCCACTCCAGTTGGCCTTAACCAGTCGAGATGTATGTGGGCCCAACTTCTTGGTAGCCTCCACAACCATCAGCACCCTGTCGACCACCTCATGGGGGACCAAACAGCAACAACCGTACAGTGAGTCTCTAAATGTTTCAGACTTAGCCATAGGCCAATTAGAGAAAAACCGAGATGGCTTCTTTCTGCCTCTTTGAGAACTACTAGTAAAGGATGAAGAAGTGAGCAGTGACTCCCGAGAGCTCCTCCCCTGCCACAGAGTTTGTTAGTCTTTAAGATGCTACTGGACTCTTGCTCTTTTCTACTAGTTAAGGATGAGTTTTTCACACTGTGACATCCTGTTGTCCTTAATAGGACTCACCCACCTATCCCCAGTCTGTTTCCCCATCATTCGTGTGTCCCGGTTCCCCAGTCCTGGGGCCTGGCCACCCCCCCGGAACCCCCCAAAGTCACCCCACTCACCACTGGAAGCCCCATGCCAGCCCCGGATGGGTTCCCCACCGGCGGAAGAGATTGACAAAGACACTGGCGCAATGACAGGGGAGACAAGACAGTCTGGGAGGGCGCGTCGCCAACCGTGCGACCCCTAGGGGGGGACCAGCCAGCTGACCAGGGCCGTGACAAAGAGCGAGGGGCATGGAAGGGCGATGTCGGAGAGAGGAGACGACCTGGCGGGCGGCATGAGACGCGACTTCAACGGGTTCGCTGCACAGCGTCGTTTCCAACGGGAGAGCCCCACCCAAGGCGCCGAGAGAGCATCCGGCACGAGGGAAAGACGCCTGGGGATGGGAGGAGTTGCTGGGAGCGGGGAGAGGGATAAAAGGATAGTGGAGGCAAGGGTCGTGGAGGAGGATGCACAGCTGAAACTGGGAAAGAGGACGTGGTGCGTAGTGACAGATAGAGGGAAACCACAACTGTCCCGACGCTCCTGAGAGGGCTGAGGGTCAAGGCTGTGCCGGCCTTGACCGCCTGAGACCCACTTTCACCTCCCTTTCCTTTAACCCGGTGTCAGTCCCAGCGACGCCTCCGCTCGCCGGATCTTCCGTTAGCCACGGCCATCGGCGGCGGGACCCTGGAGGAGAGGGCAGAGCCCCACGTGTCTGTGAACAATGGTTATGTTTTTGCTTAACCAGCTGAAGTTTTATTTTTATTTTCCTTTTCCTTCATTGTGAGCTGGGTTCTATATCCTGCGACTGGCGACAAAGAGCAATTGTCGCAAGCAAAGAGCAATTTGAATGGCGTAGTCTGGGAGTATCAAACAGGTTCCATCTGTCTCTTAATGCTCTATAGTTACTATGAGCACTTTTCTGTTACAGCTGCAGAGGAAGAATGGAGCAACCGTGGGTCATCGATCAGTCTTTTTGTTGTCGTTGTTGTCTTATTTTTGCAATCGAGTCATAGCTGAATTATGGAGATCCTGTAGGGTTTTCGAGGCAAGAGACAAGTGGTTTGTCATTGCCTGGCCCAACTTAGCAACCCCGGGTTCCTTGGTGGTCTCCCAGCCAAAAGCCAATTTGGTGTACTGGTTAAGTGCACAGACTCTAATCAGGGAGAATTGGGTTTGATTCCCCACTCCTCCACATGCAGCTGCCGGAATGTCCTTGGGTCGGTCACAGTTCTCTCAGAGCTGTTCTCTCAAGAGCAGTTCTCTCAGAGCTCTCTCAGCCCCACCTACCTCACAGAGCGTCTGTTGTGGGGAACGGAAGGGAAGGAGATTGTAAACCGTTCTGAGACTCTGAGTGAAGGGCGGGGTATAAATCGAACTCTTCTTCTTCCTCCTTGTCCTACTAACAAGGTTGACCCTGCTTAGTTTCAGAGATATGGTGGGATCTAGCCTAGAATGACATAGGAACATAAGAGAAGCCAATGTTGGACCAGGCCAGTGGCCCATCCAGCCCAACACTCTGTGTCACACAGTGGCCAAGAATACCAGGTGCCCTCAGGAGGTCCAGCAGTGGGGCCAGGACACTAGAAGCCCTCCCACTGTTGCCCCCCCCCCAAGCACCAAGAATACAGAGCATCCCTTGCCCCAGACTGAGAGTTCCTATCTATACCTTGTGGCCAATAGCCAATGGTGGACCTCTGCTCCATGTGTTGATCCAATTCCCACTTGAAGCCGTCCATGCTTGTAGCCACCACCACTTCCTGTGGCAGTGAATTCCATGTGTTAATCACTCTTTGGGTGAAGAAGTACTTCCCTTTATCTGTTCTAACTGGACTGCTCAGAAGTAAAGAACGTTCTAATACGGTACTTAACGTGTAGCTGACGAGTGCCCTGGGATCTGAAAGAAAACAGAGGGGAAAGGATTAGACATGGAGTGCTTTATTGCACTGCAGTTTCTACACGAGCAGTAGAAAAACAAAAAAGGAGACACAGTCAGTGATGCAGCGAGTTGGCCAGACCTGAGCACTGATGTTTGTGTCACTTAATAAAAGGGCCTGGCTGCTGCCTCTTCGACCCTTGTCATCTGGCTCTGGCCTCCCTGGCATGAGTTTCCTTTCCCTTCCCCCGCTGGCTCCGGACTAACGTCGGATGGCCTATCACAGATCTATAGAAAGTGCAGAAGATGTTGCCATATTGGATTCTTATGTGTTCATAACACCGACATGCAGGGGTTTTTTCGTAGAAAAAGAGGTGCAGGAGCTCATTCGCATAACTTATTTGCATATGCCACACCCCCTGACATCACCGGAAGTGTGTCAGAAGGCAACACTCACTGTTCAGGCTCCAGTGGACTGTTTTGGATTGCTAGCTATTGGGGGGGGGGGCAGGACGTGCAGATCTGTCCTCACAGAGGAGGGAGAGCTTGTACCTGAATAAAACTTGGTCTTAAAGGTGCCACTGGACTGTTTTGGGCCGGGGGGCTGGGGGGGGAGCTCTGCAACTTACCTGGCTGCTTCTTGCTCTGACTGAGGGCTGCTGGGAGCAGGGGGTGGGGCTTGTTGCATGGCCCCGCCCCCTGGGCTCCTTACTGCTGGAGCTCCGCTCCTGTTCGCTCCCGCAGGAAATGACCCCCGCCGGCAGGGAACTTGGGTGAGCAAACCTGAGATAGCCAGCGATGGCTGTCGCCATGTCTGCCTGGCAGCCGCTTTAACTCCCAGCGCCTCATTAACGTTGTCCCTTGCTAGAAATTACAGTCGCAATCAGTGGTGCTCCAACCTAACGACCTAAATTGTCACAAAACTCAGAAGCGTTCTAGGACTGATTGGGAAATGGAACTTCACATCGCTAAATGTTGCGGTTCCCTCATTTGCTTTGATCGCTGAGATCGGGGCGGTTTAAAAGGTTAAATAACAAAGGTGAAGGGATATGTCAACTGGGAGAAATGTGATTTCTTCCCCCCCGGGTCTTCTTTTTAAAAGATTTAGCTTACTCTCTCTTGTACTTTAACAATATTTTAAAATTAAATTAGAGAGAGAGAGATCCTTTCTGCATTTGCCAGCCACTCCGGATTTTCTCAGTGTTCGAGTCGAGGCAATTTAAGTCCACGGCGAAACAGCATCCGAATAACCCGAAACAACATCCGAATAACCCGGGGCAACAGCAGGCTGAAACTGGGCTGACCACTGAAGGGAGGTAATGTAATGCAGGATGGGGAAAAAACCCAGAATAAAAAGAAGGTTGAACTCGATTTTAGTGCAGAATGGGGGGAAAAAGTGGATTAAAAAGAAGGTTGGATTTGGTTTTGGTGCAGAATTGCTTCGAGGGCACCACGGTGAACGGGGATTAAAAGGAGAGTGCAGGAAGGGCCACTTCTCCACATGCAGCTGCGGGTGCGACCTTGGGTCAGTCACAAGTTCGTTCAGAGCTGTTCTCTCAAGGGCAGTCCTCAAGAGAGCTCTCTGCGCCCCACCTACCTCACAGGGTGTCTGTTGTGGGGAGGGGAGGGAAAGGAGACTGTAAGCTGCTGTGAGACTCCTTTGGGTAGTGAAAGATAAAGGTAAAGGTTTCCCTTGCTCGAAAGCCAGTCGGATCTGACTCTAGGGTTGCGGTGCTCATCTCTGTTTCCAAGTCGAAGAGCCAGCGCTGTCCGAAGACATTTCTGTGGTCATGTGGCCGGCATGACTAAACACCAAGGCGCGCGGAACACTGTTACCTTCTCACCGAAGCGGTACCTATTTATCTACTTGCAATTTCTTGCTTTCGAACTGCTAGGTTGGCAGGAGCCGAGGCCAGAGACGGGAGCTCACTCCATCATGCGGCACTCGGGTCTCGAACCACCGAGCTACCAACTTTCTGGTCGGCAGTTTCAGCGTCTTAACTGCTTGAGCCACTGCAGACTGCAGTAGAACTACTAAATTGAAGTCCAGTAGCACAGAGACCAAGATTTTCGGGATATAAACTTTTGAGGGTCGAAGCTCCCTTTGTCACATCTGACAACGGAGCTTTTGACCTTCAGAAGCCCATCCTGCCCGATGACGGTGGTCGGCATACGCAAAAGACTTCATTTCACCAGGCCTTTTAATGGACACGTTAATAGAACACTTATCCTAGTTTTTATGCGTTGGATTTTATTTCTTCCATTGGATGCTGGCTCGGGCATAGCTTTATGGGAAGGCAGCATATGAAAAAACTGGGGAAAGCCCAACGACCCATGAACCGTTTGAACACATGAAGCTGCTTCAAAGTGAACGATACCATTGGTCCGGCAAGGTTCGTGTTGCCCACTCAGACTGGCAGCGGCTCTCTGGGGTCTTGGGTAGAGGTCTCTCACGCCACCTAATGCCTGCTCCTTTCCGCTGGAGGTCCTAGTCATTGAACCCAGGTAACTTTCAGACAAATAAAATGGATTTCAATAGAGAGAAGTGCAAAGTCCTACACTTAGGTACAAAAAATCAAAGGCGCAGATATAGAATGGGAGGGACTTGGCTTGACAGCAGCACATGTGAAAGGGATCTGGGTGTTCTGGTGGATCACAAGCTAGACATGAGCCTGCAGTGCGATGTGGCTGCAAAGAAAGCGAATGCAGTCTTAGAATGCATTAATAGAAGTGTTGACTTTTGCGGGGGTTCAAGAACGACACAACACACAGAGCTAAGTACAAGCTCTCTGATCAAGCTTAGTTCATCTCTCTGTCCCAACTGTTCTGTTGAACTGCCCGTCACGCAGCGCTTTATTTAGAGAAGGAAAAGCAAGCTCACACAAGGCACAGTGAGAAAATGTTACAGTTAGTGGTCTCTATGCAAAAATCACACTATGTTCTTTCACAGGCAAGATTATCCTTGAATGTTGCAAAGCTTATGTGCTCTCTGTAATTCATTGTGTTCTAAGAGGAATTTAGCAGTCTCATGCAAACCCAGCAAACCTTGTTTCCTGCTTTGCCGATCTCCTGGCGAGAATTTTCTCTGTGGGAATTTGAACTTTGACCTGGGGAGCCTGAACTCATGACCCGGGTTTGCCTCGCAGGACGCAGGACTTTGTTCAGACTCCACACAGAAGCATTGTATCCAGATCACAGGGGTCGTTCCGCTCTCTTCTGCTATGGTCAGGCCTCACCTGGTGTACACGGGAGCCAG